TGTGATACTTTTTGAGATTTCTTGTGAAGTGTGATATTTGTGGTACTTTTGAAGTAGCATGAAATTTTCCTGTTTTGTAAAGTGTGATTTTTTTTCAGTATTTTTGATTTAGTTTAATATATTTGGTATTTTTGTCAAATTTGATACCTTTGAGGAAGTGTGATATTTTGGTATTTCTGTAATGTGTGACATTTTTATACAGTGGTATTTTTGGTCTTTTTAGTTAGTGTGACTTTTTTATATTTTTAGGGTGGTATTTTTGATATTTTGATATTATCATTGACTGAGGAGAAAAAAAAAATCACCATTTACCACGAATCATCTCGCACATCACTGGTTGTTTCTAGTGTTAGCATTAAATTATTAGGTGAAAGGGCAAGCATCTGTTATGTAAGCCTTATCCAACACAAAAACCTACATGCTTAACCCTCAGTGACCAAAAGATTCCCCTCTGCCAGTTTTGAATAAAGAAATGTTTTTCAATATACATCTCTGATTGCTGCTAAATATTTCTTTGTATTACTTTAGCCTGCTAGCCTTAGTGCACTGTTTATCCTGTTTATGTACTATGAGTAAGATAACACATTAAAATCTCTCCCAAAACTCTTTTCTTCTCTTCCTTCGCAAACATGAATGTCCATCGTACGGATACTTGAATATCAAAATCAATCAGAATGTACATCCTAAATTTACAGATGTAAATAGTATGTAAATCTCTGAGGATATTGTAGAGTTTGCTTTAGCGTTTTCTGTTTGTGTAGTCCACTGCACTTGGGAAAGCCCACCTGTTCTGACTAGCCCTGGAGTACCCCTTGTCCTACAAATTTTAATGTGTTCTCTGCTCTGACACACCCACTTCAACTCAGGAAGAGCTTTCTAATGAGCTGATTAGTTGAATCCGGTGTCCTGGAGCAGGGGAACACCAAAATATGCAGTGCAGGTAGTGGTTCAGGCCCAGAGGGAACCACTAGTGAATAATCACTGTATGGTTCATGGGTAACTCATAGACATGTTTTTTTGTATCTCAGACAGTGCTGTTGCTCCATTTATTTGATATGTAAAGAACGAGATCTAACAAAGTCAAAGATTTGTAGATTTATATGTAGTTTGTGCTGTATTGTTACTTTTTTAAAAAGTGATAATAAGCTCTCACCGATCAGAATGAGCTAGTGCACTTATATGGTGCATCCAACAATAAAGAAAGCCTCATGCTTTTTTATGCACCCAGGAAGATCTGATTCCACATGTTAACATGTTTCACTCTGGCTAATATGGACATGCACACGCTCCGGCGGCAAATTTTAACATGTTAAAGATGATATTGCCAAATTCTCAGACTGGATAGCTAGGGAGCTGCTCATTTCGATAGGGTTAGTACTGACGATATTCACAGTATGCTCAGAAAAGCATTTTTGATGTAATTTATCTCAGTACAGTAAAATATTGTCATATTTCCCACTCCTTTCACCTTTCAGTAGCAATATTAGTTAGCTTAGCTTGCTAAGATTAGGCCAACATTGCGTTAATTATAATGTTTTTAAAACATATATTTATTGAGTTTTACTTGAGATTTACTGTTTAATGGATTATGCAGTGCAGCTGTAAAGATATAACTGTTGGTTAATAATAAGCTCAAGTACAGTGACCTTAGCATCGGGCTTTAGCGTTGCTCCCTGTCTGCTCATAATCAAACTCTGTACTTAATGTGAATATATATGAAAAAGCTGACTTTTGGCTAAAGTGTTTATGAACCAAAGGCCTTCTGGATTTGGAGAAAATCAACACTCTGGTTAGTATGTGATAGCATTTCACGCAATGAGGCCAGGGCTAGGACATCAGCTCTGTTTATTGTAGTTCCGTTCCAATTACTAAACTTTCCAGCATGCGTGTATATACACACACTCAAAGACAGCATGGTTACACAGAATAAAACACAAAAAGCTTCACATCACAAATACGGTTTCTAAGAGACTTAATACTGAACATGTCTGTTAAGTATCCAAAGTAATAAAACGTTCACAAACAACTTCGTTATGTAATAGGTATCCGAGTTGATTAATGGTAGATTGTGATATGAATGTAGAACGTGTCTATCTTTAGGGTTGGGATCTAAAAGAGGGCAAAGGTTCAAAGAAAAAGGGCGGAGCTGAGGTCAAGAGTTTAAAAATGGCAACGTAGGCATTATGTAAAACGGTTGCTGGAAGAGTCTAGTGCAGTTTTATTTTAGTTAGTTTTATATTTCCTAATTTTAATACTGCAGAACATCAAAAAAGGCAGCTGCACCTGTGTGGATTTTTTTGCCGCATGTGTCAGCGAGCATCTAGGCCACTCTGATGATAACGGGCATTCAGAAGTTGGAAAGTATCGATTGGCACTTTCCCCTCAGCCAATTAAAAGGCACCACTCTTTTAATAAAGGTTGCACTGGTTCCGTGAACCAGGTCAGCTGTACGAAAGGGTCAGCATTACTGTCTGTCCCACAGCTAACAGTGTTTGAGTCTGAAAGGGGGACATGATATCAGAGTTTTAGGGTTAACTGGCTAAAGTAAATGAGAGGCTGATTTAACTTGGGTTAGCATTTAGCTTAGTAGTATGTATCTCAGTTATAAAACCAAGTCTCAACAAAAATGACAGTTTATGAAGCGGTTAACATCAAACCACAAAAAATAACTGCTAGGTCAGTTTGGTGATTTTCCTGATCTACCTCATCAGTTAATTAACAGGTTTGGTTGGTGTGCTACCACCCCTGCTCTAGAATTACTCAATCAAGTAAAAATGTCTGGAAATAATTAATATTATAATATTCTTACAGCAATCCCAAAAGGTAAAATATTTGATATATTAACGAGATTTAAGATTATTTTAAATATAATGTTATTATTAAATGGCTTCAAATAATTTCCGACTCCTGGAGAGCATATGGATAATGTTTCTCCAAAATATCCTGTCTTCTGTTTGGTTCTTTTGGCTTCAGTTGTTCACGATTCCTCTGTTTGTATCCATCCATCTTGACGCTGCTCGTCCTCTTTTTCTCTTGCCTTCAACACTTCCAAGCGTAAAGGTCTTTTCTAGTGAATTACTTGGTAAAAATGATGCAAGTGTGTATTTAGTGCTTCTTAAACATTTAAATATATTTTAACAACAGTATGATAATATCACAACTGATATCATGATAGGAAACTTTATATCATCCCATCATAACTTAACTAAGCGGACACAGTTGCTCAGTCTTTTTTTATTTGTTTCGTTTTGTTTTTTCTAGTCAGATCCTGGCTGCGACTGTTTTTAAGGCCATGCCTAACGTGTCTGAGATCAGCAGGGCAGGCTCGAGCTCTGAGAGGACAAAGCTCTCTGTTGTATCCTCACATGGTCGCTAAAAGCCACCGCTAGCCAAACTCTAACCTTTATTTTTACAAACCACATGCAAATCTGACTGCGGAGCAGCAACTAGGGCCTTCTGTTACCGCCAGAGAGCACCTCCAGTGTGTTTTTGTGTGTGCATGCCCTCTGCTGGACAGTAAGGAGGCAGTCCTATATCTGGCTCAGATAGAATAGGTACATAAAGGGGGGGGGTATTACTCATGGTGTCTTGGGGAGCAGGGAGGGAGTAAATATACATGTATTGAATCTAACCTGTGTCAATACAAAACAAGAATATTAGGAACTGCATGAATTTAACCAGTATTCATCTATATGCTAGGGATACACGATCAGAAACTAGTTTTCATTTAATTAATTTCTAGCCAATATGGCCATTAAGTACAGGTTATTCATTTTTTAGGAGATATTTGTGATTAGATTAGATATGAGATAATCTTTGGAATGGTAAAGTCAAAGGGAAATGTAAATGAAAAAAAGTTTCCAAAAGTGGACTTGGGACTCCTAACAACCATGCAAGATTTGGTAGACCACCAAAACTGTCAGCATCAGATAAATAGTACTCAAAGCTTTCCTCTTGTAAATCTTCAAGAAGACAGTACTGAAAAAAAGAAACAGATAAAAAAAAAAATATATATATATATATATATATATATATATATATATATATTTTCACCACAACACCGAAACTGGACATCTGAGATGTGGAAATTTGTAACTGGGATTACTTGAATCATGAGACGAAATGCAACCAACTTCTAAGACTGAATTTCAAAGGTGTGGAAAAATATTTCTGTAGATTTTTTTCAAAAACTCACAGCAAGTCTCCTGAAAAGAATGAAGTTTGTAATAAAGGTAAAGGGTGGACACATTAATTACTGAAATTATTGGATATTATGTGTAGTTTTTGAGGCTTCTGTAATAGCTTTTTGACTCCTGGCCGTTTTACTGGAAATTAAATAAACGAATAGTGGCCTCTGAATTTTGCGCAATACTGTATGCATTGTATGTGTAAGTGAGAGAAGCAAAGATAACATGAGACAGAGAAATATAGATTATTCTGTATGTTTAGGGAGGGATTTACCATGGCAACACTTGTAAGGAATGTCTTAAATCTTTGCTCTCTGAAGGAGTCGTCCAGCATGCCTGTGTGGTCTCATGCACATAGATATGCTATGTGAATCAACAACACACTGCCATGGCAACACAGCAAGGATGTGTATATGTGTAAGAGGAGGGGTCCAAAGGTCAATGTGTTGGTCCATTCAACTATGTCACTACTCATAATTCCAGGGAATCCCCACCTTGGGGCTATTCTGCAAGGCCATTAAAACATCACGTTTAAATGCAGCAGTGAACTTTGTTGGAATTTCTCTTCAAGAATGGCCAAAACAGCTATTTTTACATGGTAAATGCACAAGCTGTATAGTTCAGTGAGAGAATGATTCATTGAAAGCCTCATTTACTGTTCTAAACACTGGCCTGCAGGTTATGATTCCTGATCCAGGCTTCAAATCTCCAAAATATTCAAGTGTTGGTTCTACAGTAGATCAGTTGTATAACACTCTGGACTGTCTGAGTTACACTGTGTAATTTTCACATTTGTTTATTTGTGTCCTCCAGCTTCTTGGACAGAATTGATTCAGTACGACAGAATGACTACACACCAACAGACCAGGTGGGGGTGCTGTAATGTGTGACATATTTATTAGTTATGGCCATTATAGAAGCTCTCTGAGATTACCAGCCAGCACTGACTAATTTTATGTATTTATTAACATTGCAATTTACTGCACTAATATTGTAAGTGACAGTTTACATAAATATACCTTTACATACGTAACCAAACTAGTGCATGCCTAATGTGATCTGTGAAGTTATCTAGATACTAGATACTCATAGACAAATATATTCATTACTTAAAAACATTTGTGATTTAAAGAGTATTGTTTTAATTGCTAATTGTTGGAATCAGTTGGTGCAAAATGTCTCTTTGACATGATTCTAAAGCTTTAATAATGAAATATATTAAATATATAAATATATTAAAAACAGATTGAGATTTTTATATAGACTCCTAAACAGTTGCATTTAATTGCGTGTGCTTTTAAAGAGAAAAAATGACTGGAAAAAAATTGACTTGCATTTGATTTTGTATTTTACTATACATTTTGACTATACAAAGCATAATAATCAAAGGAACTTAAAGACAAATGAGACAAAGTAAGTTTTACAGTACAGTTCAAAAGTGTTTAGAATGAACACTGCTGTGCTTTTGATGAATTATGGTTTATGTTCTACCTACACTGACTTCCGTTTTCTCTCTGTACTCAGGATTTGCTTAGGTGCCGAGTTTTGACTTCAGGGATTTTTGAGACACGATTTCAAGTAGACAAAGTCAACTTCCAGTAAGTGACCACATAATGATGCATGTTTTCCTTTTATCTTGCTTTTGGTGAGTGTCTATGTTTTAATTTGCCACTTCTATTAATCTTAATACTTTTACATTTTGTGACATTTGTGGATTGTAATCACTTCATTAAATGGCATTTTAAATTATCTACACTTTGTGAGTTCAGCTGATTTAGAGCTTGATTTATCAAAAGCTATAGTATCCTGTGTTCATTTGATGTTGGAGAAACAGCTTAGAGTTATGATAATGAAGTGGAGAATGTCAATGCAATATCCTCTTTGACCACATGGGGCCACTGTTGTATAATAAACATTATAATCAGTTCTATTTTCACAATATGGTAATGTGTCCTCAGTTGACTTTGAGGTATTTTATGCATTAAAAATGATGAATTATTTTAAAATAATTTGTTTCCAACATGGCGAGCTGATCTTTTAATATCTTTTAATCAGTCTCTCTCTCTGTCTCTCTCTCACTCTGTCTCTCTCTCTCTCTCTCTCTCTCTCAGCATGTTTGATGTGGGAGGTCAGAGAGATGAGAGGAGAAAGTGGATCCAGTGCTTTAATGGTGAGTTTAACATATTTGTAGGCCAATTCATAAAAATACATAAAACAGTCTGCTAATGGAAGCAGTGAAAACTTTACCAAACTTAACCAAGTCACCTTAATTAAACAACAGCACAAAAGAAGGCAATGAAGGTGTACTGATCTAACAGTACATGTACAGAGCAGAAAACATGATTGTATTAGACTGTATTTTGTTTTGTGATATTTAATAAAAATTTACTAAAAACAAAACATGATAATCACTGGAACATAATCATAACAATAAATGAGGTACCCAAAAATTACACTGCAGTTTTTTTCTAAATAGGGAAAATTATGACATTATTTAGTTACTTAGTCTCAATATTTTAATTTACTTAATCAACTTAACAACAAGGTTAAATTAGTGCCAAAACATTTTTAAACATGACTTGTGCTTTCAGTATGGTAATAATACAAATACAAATACAAATTTAATGTCCTAAATGTTGTTTTGTTGCTGTGTGTGCCTCCAGATGTGACGGCCATCATCTTTGTGGCAGCCAGCAGCAGCTACAACATGGTGATCAGAGAAGATAACAGCACTAACCGCCTGCGCGAGTCCCTAGACCTGTTCCGCAGCATCTGGAATAACAGGTTCCATTCCACCCTCCCCCTTTCTGTTTCTGTTTCCCTCTTTTTTTTGTTCCTATATTTGTGTTCATTCTTTCTGCAAGCATAGGCCCCTATCTGTCTAACTTGCTGCCTATGTATGTTCTCTGTTGGTTTCCTTTAGATTGGTTTAGTAAGCAATATAAAGTGCCTAAATGCATTATTACTAGTACAAACGATAAGAAACCTGGCTTTCTTCAAAAAGAGGCATTTGAGAAGTGCTGGAGAGATCCTGACTAACTGTCTGTCTGTATGTCTGTCCCTGTGTGACTCCTTCAGGTTTTTACGGACCATCTCGGTGATCCTCTTCCTGAACAAACAGGACATGCTGGCGGAGAAGATTCTGGCTGGCAAATCCAAACTTGAAGATTACTTCCCCGAGTATGCTCGCTACACAGTCCCTGCTGAAGGTAAGTGCCTCTTTACTCACAGTGACACTAAACCAAATGTGCTCTGATGTAACATTTTCTTGCCCATTTTGAGGGAATTATCAGAATGTGGCTCATACAAACGTTGTGTGCAAATTTATTTGTATAGCGTTTTTTTACAATGGCCATTCTCACAAAGCAGCTTTACAGAAATCCAGGTCCAAGCCAAAAATGAAAAGGCCAAAGGTGACAGTGGCAAGGAAATGTTTGTAAGAGCAAGAGGAAGAAACCTTGAGAGGAACCAAGACTTAAAAGGGGAACTCATCCTCCTCTGATCAACACTGTATAGTAAAACAGTAACACAACTCCATACATGGCCTAAGGTTACATTTAAAGTGTCATTTATAAAGTACTACATTTATCTTGAGGATGCTTGCAGACAACCTGGTTGGTATCCCAGGGGTGAGAATCTTTGAGCCAATTTCCAGCACTGTTATATGATTTTTCCTGCTCCAACACCCCAACAAAACTTGGCAATTAACAGATGTTTTTTGTCAGGTGTGTTTGAGCAGGAAAATCACCAAACTGTGCAAAGGTTTCACACTCTGTCTTCTCTCTCTATTCAAAGCATGTAAAACTGCTTTGGCAATAGACAAGGTGAGCACCACAAAATTTGGACCGTAATCTGAAATTACTGTCATTTGTTCTTGTTGTATATCATACTGCTGGCATCATAACACTTAAAAACAGACTGACTTGTGTTGCCTCTTCAGTTTATTCAAGCCCTTAGGCCTAATACAGTTATGTGTAAAATTACATAGGAGGTAGAAAATGTAGCATGTATATAGACATAGAGTGAAAATAGTTACAGCGGTGCACAAAAGCCTTATCAGTGAATTGTAATAATGTGAACTTGTTTGCTAAAGAGGCTGCATCTTATCCATGTTTTAATCAATCAAGACAGTTATTACTTTCTCATCAAGTTATTTTTCAAGGTTTTGATCTGTATATTGTCACTGTCCACAAAAAATGGTTATCTTCAATTTTTTTCTATTTTTATTTTTCTATGGTATTTGAACACAGCAGCTGTCCTTTATGTTGTGTGAAAATTTCTTGCTTGTTGGACAGTGACAGTATCCTTCATTGGCTGAAAATACAAGGTCACTACATTGTGACACTAAACTTACTGACATTTGTTCTGTTATGCACAGCCACCCCTGACCCTGGGGAGGACCCAAGAGTCACCAGGGCTAAGTTCTTCATCCGGGATGAATTTCTGGTACGTTTGAAGTTTTGTCATTGCTTCTCTTTGAATGTGTTGTGCTGTTCTCACTTGATGTTTGATACAATGTTTTGTGAGAGTGAGGAATATATAGAGAGAGCTCTGCGCATATTTGGTTGGTCTGCTTTGCGTTGCTCTTGTTTTTTGGTCTGAATCTTGTGCATCTGTGTGTTTGCTTTATGCACACTGAACTGCTAAAAGGGGTAGTGCAACCAAAAAAGAAATATACACACAATGTCCCTCCAGTTGTAGTCAGTCAACCAGGACATGTTTGGTGTCCAAAGATTGATTTTTTTAGTTTTGCACTGAAGCTCTGAGGCTAATATAGCTAAGTATTAATACAACTTTAACCACCAGTTAATACTGTGCAAATTGCATTCCTAAATCATTATATCAAATTTGCCTCAAAGTACATGAACAAAAATAGATAGCATAGCTATAAACAGTAGTAGCTGCAACCTTTTATTGTCCTTTTGTCCATCTTTATAGATAAAAGTACAATACACAGTGTGAGTAACCACATTACTAAACCTGTTTGACATTACTTAGCAACATCAACATGGTTTGAGGCATGTGTGTGATGATTTAAGCATGCAGTTTGGTTTTCTTCTTCTTATTTACTTGTTAGCTACAGCAACCTTGTAGATCCAGTGCAAAACAAAAAAGAAGCTACATGTTTGACTGGGGTAATAGGAAAACTGTAACTGTTTTTGTGGCCGAGACATCAATTTTAGCTTTGGTTGCTCTGTTAAGGCACATTCACACGAGATTTTCAAAAAACAAATGTGTGTACTGTTCACATTAAGTCCAGTGCGTTAACATATTTCTACATTACCTCCTGTGCTCTATAAGTGGGACTAGAATCTTTATAGTTGTCATAGATGTCCACCCCTTTTCTCTGCTCCCAGCCTGCTTTTGTTTTCTTTCATGTTTATTATCTTTCTAAATGGAAATTTCACCTTTTTTTTTACTATTTCCACTACAAAACTAACAAACAAACTAAACATAAATATACAAGGATTTCAGCAAGAGAAGCTCATCATTTACAATTCTTCCTGAGTATGAACAGACTAGAATAAATTGAAAAAAATCACTATGTTGTACTAGGGTAATTGCAGTCATTTTCTTGCCCTTCAGCTATTATCTGTCATATATTTTAATTAACCTCCACATTTTTATAGTCAGTATGTTATATATAAAGGTTTTATAAGTTTTTGTACTCAAAAACTGTTCTGCTATTGTTGTGATACCTTTGTTTGACTGTGATTGCTCAGGCTGATTTTTAATGCATAAAATTGTGCTTGCTCCAGTTAAAAATTTTACACAGGATTGCAGTTCATTAGTTTCTGACGAATCGTCCTACCATAGTGCATAATCATAGGTAGCTCCCACATAAAACTGTAAGTAGGATATTTCGATAGCCTAAATGACATTATCAGAAAATGCTACCAGCATTAAAACTGTAGGCAGGATTTTTAGTAGCATAAATAACCTTATCAGAAAATACTATCAGCGCTAAAAATGCAAGTAGAATATTTTGATATCCAAAATTGTGTTATAGGACATTTTGGTCGCCTGAGTCTGTACAGACTTGAATTAAGGCTGAATTAACATTGTAAACACCCACTTGTCTATCCGATGGGTAGGACAAAGTGTTAGAACCCTTTAATTAATATGCGTGTTTATCTTCAAAAGTGAATGCACATTTTTTACATTTTTCATCTGGAAAACTTTTGTGCTGTTGACATAACTCGTTATCTGTATTTGTGTTCCTGCAGAGGATCAGCACAGCGAGTGGTTCGGACAAACACTACTGCTACCCGCACTTCACCTGCGCCGTGGACACGGAGAACATCCGTCGCGTCTTCAACGACTGTCGTGACATCATCCAGAGGATGCACCTCCGCCAGTACGAGCTCTTGTGATTCGCCGCCGCAGCCAGTTGCTCCTCAGATTGGATCGTTTCTTTTCCACTCCCAGATCGCAGCGGGATTATGTGAACTACTGACAAGTGACATTGTTGTCATGTGATTTATTTTTTTCCTCTTTTGATGCTTTTTCCTCCGTTTCATCTCCTTATTTATAGCCTGTATTTCTGAGACGAGCGTGAGGTGTATGTGTGTGTGGGCGCGTGTGTGAGTGTGTGTGCACCTGAAGATGCTGTTTGAGTTGCATTTTTGATCACTCAAAGGTCATTCCTGTTTTCATCCTTTTTTGTTCTGTTTCTCAGTCTTGAGGACTTTTCCGATTTTTACTTTCTGCTAGCTGTGGTTGGACGTGGACCAGCTAACCTAACGGAAACCTGTGGTAATTTCAGGCACGTTAGTCTGAAGGTAGTCTGACGTTTGACCTCTTCTCCGCAAATCTTGTGGTCTTTTTTAGTAGAATACTTGACGTAGGGGGTGGATAAATGCACTTTGCATCAGGTTCCTTAAATGAAGGCCAGGAAGCATAATTCACTATGTAGCACCGCCATATTTATTATTCTTCACTTTTCCTCTTTAGTATTTTTTTTTTATGTGTTTTGCCTTTCTTTGCTCGGTTTTCTGTCAAGAGTGCAGGGTTGCAAGGATAGCCAGGGGGGTTGGAATTGTCCATTGAGCACAGACTAGGCGTAGGAGTGGTGGATTGTTGGACTTGTAGTCCTCTGCACCTCTTGGCCAATAGGCAGTAGCTGCTTTCTGCCTAGGGAGAACCACCACACTTGATTGGCCAATCGATACCTCTCGTAGAACAAGGGGGAGGTGTCTCGATATGGTGGGCGCTAGTCCTATATAAATATATATAAATAAATATATAATATATTTTTTGGGGGGTTGTTTTATTATCCTAAGGAACGTGCAAGGTTGCTTTATCTTGTACAGGCCTGCAAAATGTAATGTTATTTTGTACAACTTCATTGAAAAAGAGAAAAAAAACAAAAAATAAAAAAAAAACAAACTTTGACTTGTAGAAGCTCCTCGTGCCTTTGATTACGGCTGTACCTGTAAATGGGGATTTAGATGTAAGTACATTTTTGACAGCGTTGTACAGCTTGATGTCAAATCTTAACCGCAGCACAGCCTGCTGATGGGGAATCTGTCTCTCTCTCTCTGTAGAAACGCATTTTCTTCTCTGGTTTATAAAGATTGACAAAACAATATGGTCTTTAGTATAAAAAGAAAATTAGGCAAAAAAATCTTGTATACAATATGCAAAATTAACCACTTGCTGATGTTGAGAAGTTGCAGATATAGAGTACATGCCTTTTTTCTTTTTCTTTTTTCCTTCTTCGAGTTTCATTTCCCCTTTCTAGGACTCATTGACAGCTTTAAAAATCCATTGGAAAATCCTTGGCAGTGTCCAAACTTGCAGCCTGCTGATGTTTTGAGTAGGAAGCATCTTTTTAGACATGAACTGTGTGTGCGTGTGTGTGAGGCGTGTACACAGGGTTACAGCGGGGAAATGTGCGTATGTGCGTGTGCCTGCATGCATGTGTGCATGTGTACACCAACATACCCACACATTGTGTTATGCCCAGAAGTTGTACATCTGCATTTTTATATTTATATGTGTACATATACATTTATAAAAAGTTACAAAAGAAGCTATATTCTATAAATATATATGTACAATTATACATAGAATGTGTGTGCCTACGCGTATACATATTTATGAATGTCTAGCGAGGTCGTTTATGCACAGCCATGCATATACATAGGTGTACTTTAGAAGGAAGGAGGAAGGCGAGAGAGATTATTGGTTCGTCGACCGTCCCTTCAACTTTCAGGACAGCGCGGTGTTCAGAACATGTAGGCACTGACCGTCTCACGTCACAGCCACAGAAATTCGCACAGCCTTTTCAGCCTAAACGCTCAGTACTGGACAGTCTAATGTGTAAGAGTAGCACTAGCAGGTCGTGCCATCAATCAGACTGAAGTTATGTAAAAAGCTTGGCAGAAAGATTGTGCCCTCATTGACCCTCGTTTTTAATATGTAATCACACATACGGTACCAGTCAGCAGTTTGGCGATACGTATAGGTTTTCTTTGTAGTTTTTTTTTCCACCAATTTCCACATTTTACTATAACAATGAAGATCAGAACTATATAATACTTCATATGGAATGAGTCAGAAATCTTTCTACAAGGGCTGAAAGATTAATCTTCACAATTTGAAAGAGTGCAATTTCCAAATCGCAAGAGCTACGATTTTAATTATATCCTACATTAATCCCAGTTTTCTTAACAAGTTTTAAGGGGAGAAACATGACCTTAAAATGCAGAGCTTGTGAACTGGCATTCTGGCACACTACATTGTGCTCAAGCCTTAAGCCTGAAAAAATGGATGTGCTGCATTTCTTGGTGAAAAAGGTCTAGAGCTTAATCTAAAGAAATTAATAGCATTTAAATGCCAGTCACAATATTGATCAGAAAAATCGCAATTAGATATTTTCCACAAATCATTCAGCCCTACTTTCCTCTAAATTGGAATATTTAGACACCACCCTCCCTCGTTACAACGCAACTGATAGGCTGAAAGGTATTAACGAGGGCGGACATTTCACTAATTAAGTTTACATTTTCCGACGCTAAATTTTACTGAAGTCCTACATGAAAACTACTTGTTTTTTTTTGTTTTTGTTTAGGACATAAATTGATACATAGGCGTCAAATTGAATATTTTTGTCGTAGAAAAAAACTAAACTTTTTAAGCATAAGCATTTAGATCAAAATTAAAAAAAAACATACAATCAAGTTTGCCAGACTTTTGACTAGTAGTGTATATTGTGTTTTCCTGTTTACATCCATTATTTCTGTGATTTTCTAAAAATTATTTTAGGCTTTAAAGGGATTTTGGCCATCAAACTACGGTAAGGTGAAATTTACTTATTAATCATTCCATTTAAAAGAGAGACCTTTTCTGCTTGTCTCTTCACACTAATCTGTTCTACGTCTTTTTATTTTATTATTAATTACCCAAGGGGATTTCAAACTAAGCCAAGTTCACCTAGACCTCTAAATGAAAATATATTGCTTTTGTTTACTTATTTTCTTTCATTTTCAGAGCATTAGCATCACGTCAGTGACATTTTTTCTCTCTGTACTAATTCATTATACATCAATTTTACTTTCAATCTGTTCACCATCAAACTACACCCAGGTCACCAAAATGTTTTTTATTGATGTATTTTTTTTTCATTTTTAGAGCATTAAAATCCTGTTGGGGAGACTTTATTTGCTCCATATCTTTGCACTAATCTGCTATACATAGCTTTCCACCATCACCTTCCATGTGAATTCAGTAAAGCATGTCAGATCCATTTCATTTTAGAGCACTGGTCTGTACTTCTGAGCCACATTTCACTTCAGCATAGACAAATCGATGAATGAGACAGTCTGAAGGCTGTATTGAATGACTTTTGTACCTGCCTACAGCTTGCACACAGAAGTGAAGTCGAAACAGTTAGAAATGTCCATTGAGGTTTGCCTAAAAAGCTCCAAAACACATCTGCCCACCGTTTTTTAGACTGATCCACTGTCCAGGTGACTGGAAGAGGCTGTGTGTTGACTCTGGCTGTACAGTGAGGCTACAGCACTGCTAGATAGGCTAGATTCTCTTTCCTCTGAGGCTTCTACATGTTCAAAAGAGTGATGACTGAGTGAAGGAAAAACAAAACAAAACAAACAAAAAAAAACTGTGTCTGGCCTTCAAGGACTTAAACATTTTTTGGTTGTTGTTTCTTAATTTTTATTTTAATAAAGAGGCACATTAGAAGACCTTTGTCTTTGTTTAGAATGAGAATGTCAGGAGAAATGTAATTTTGCAAATAAAATACCTCTAAAAGAAATTGTGTGTGTGTTTTACTACTCAACCAAGGTGAGACAAGTCATCAGATTTAGATATATTTATTGCATGTCAACACTAGTTAAAACATTCCCTGGGAATTAAAAGGTTTAAATCCATTTGTTCAAGATACATAGCTCATTTATATAAGGCTGGGAATTGCACATACACAATTCACTAAACTTAAAAAGTAATGGTTCCAATTTGGTTCTTGGCTTGGATGCACAGTTTGAAGAGAAACATTTAAACGATAAGAAAATATCATGGTAATGGTCCAGGCCTAGTTTAGAGTCACACTGCTACTAGATGTTCTACCAAAATAAGTTTAGGAGCACTTTATTTTACTTCCTTTCCTCATCTTGCCAGAATATTTGACTAGAAATACGGCGATTTTTGTACACAAGTTTCATGATGACATTTCAATATAACACTGAAAACTGTATTTGTGTAAAATCTCGAGGCTGTATGCAGGCATGTTCTCATTTACCAGAGGTTCACTTAATGTCCAGTTTGTTTCTCCATTTGTTGTTCTCAGAAACCAAACAGATCACAACTGTTTAGAGAACCAAAAATGGTTCTTCTATGGCATCACTCCACAGAACCATGTTGGCACCTTTATTTTTAAAAGTGTAAAAGAAAAAACTTTTAAAAAATGAATGGACCAATGACTTTAGCTAAAATTGAAGCCTTGGAGTCCACTCGCACAAGTTTCAGATCAGTCAAAAGATATCCAATGGCTCTCAGCAGTAATAAAGTGCAGTACTGGAATGATATCTGGCTCAAGTTTCCTTATCAACTTAAAATTAAGCTTAACAGTAAAGTGTAAAAGTATGCCTGTTTAGTACCTCAGACCTGTTTCATAAAGCATTAAAGTGTTAAACATGTAAGGTCATACAGCTCATAGGAAGACAAAGTAATAGTAGCCCTCCCATAATGTAATGGTCTTTGTGCTTGGATGCTTCTGAAAGCTTGTTCCAGTTATGTACCTCGTGTAAACATGCAGTATGTATGAGAATGTGTGTCTGCATACACACAGTTGTGCACTAGGAGAAAGTACACATACATTTGTGTGTGTGGGTCATAGAGACTTCTGCTTTCCCAGGAGAACGTTTGCCGTATGTAGCGCTCCCCGGAACAGACTGAGGTGGCCCAGAGTGATCAGTGCTAACGCCATAGCGCTACCACAGTACACCGCTATAACACTGCTCTCCTCTGGCAGGAAACACTTAGAAAGTGCATAATCAGACTGTGAAAACGAGCCCTGCGACAAACACAGTGGGAAAGAAAAAACAGAAACAAAATAGTCAAAAACACTGTATATATATAAAACGCCTAAGGCACTTGATTTGGGAACGGTCAAACTGCGCCACCTACCGGCTGAATCGACTTAAATGTTGACTTCTGCATTCAGGCCTTCTTCAGAAGGTCACGTTTCCACGGGTTTATCTGATTTCCAAGTCGGTAAATCATTCTGCATTAAAGTAGTTTTATTTCTGTAAAATCCTTTCTGTTGTACTTTACTTTTTTTTCTCCACTGTTACGCGTTTTTTAAAGAAAGTATCAATTTACACATGGACTACCAATCAGGCACGTACCTATTAGAGGGCTCTCCACCAGAATGCATTTATGATAGGTCGCCCTTTAGCATTGCTGCCGGAACAACGGCGGAGAGCTGCCATTTGACGCACCACCTCTCTGAGTAACGGCAGAGAATTCCTAGTGAGGAGAACTGCAACGCAATGTCTTACAGGTTTGTCAAACGCTAGAGGGCGCTCCGGGTCCAAAATCAATTTGTTCTTATGGGACATTGTAAACGCTCACTAATATTTATGCAGAAATATGCATTTATATTCATAACGTAGTTCAATACTGCTGCCGTACTTTTTGAGGCTTCTGAGCTCCAGTTTTAGGACTTTCTAACAGTGGCTTATGTACGTTAATGACGTCAGTGAGCGTGAACCAGAGTTTTCTGCGTGAACCGCTTTACTCAACCAACGAGCGGACTCAACCAGCATCTTACTGCCCAAATGGAGAGATACAGGCAAGTTGCATTTACGTGCTAATCTGATGACAGACGTTAAATTTGGGGGAAAGACGTTGAAGTAAGAAAAGGAATCATAGGTGAACACGTACATTGTTAATATTACTAATTTCATTTTCGTTATCATACACTTTTGTGATAAAGTAGATAATGTGAGCGCTATGAACTGCTGTCGTCTCCTGATATTATGGGCAGATCACACACCAGGAAAATGGAATGTAATCTGCACAAAACATTAATTTATATAATTATTTGATGAAATTATTAGTAATTTAAAACACTGTCTCTTCTTGTTCATGCTGGCGCGTGCAGAGCGGCACCGAAGCGCGCGGTATTTAGAGGACAGTCAAATAAGATTAAATGAGAATGAAAAAGAAAACCGAACAAACCTTGTAAAAACGCAAATTATCTCATTCATGACTGTTATCAAACGAAATACTAGTTAAATATTCCGTGCTGAGCACAGATTTCCTGTATGCCTGTATGAGTCTGAAAACAGCTGATGTAGTGTCCACAGATAGCAAATGTAGCTCTCTAAGAGGAGCCCAGTGAACACTGATGGTTAAAACAAACAACTTTGACACTGTTCATGGAAGCAGTGGTTCCCAAAGTCAGTCCTGGCAACGCCATGCTCTGCATGTGCTTTTGTGTTTTCTTTAATCTACAAGACCTGCCCAACAGAAGCTTGTTAATTAGTTCAGTAAGTTCAATTAGGTGTGCTTGATAAGAGAAAGCACAAAAATGGGGCTGCCAGGACTGGGAACCCCTATATTACAGTATGACAGCCCTACACAACATGTCAAAACATCAGTGAGCTGACATGATGCAGGCTAATAAAAACACAGTCATAGAATTTGAAATAAACTGGTGTGGAGATGTTACGAAACCAACGAATAATGCATACAGTTTGACACTGTTTTTCACAGGAGTTAAATTATACAAGCGAGACAAGCTGGTGAAATCATGTTAATACCAAAATCACAGATAAGTGAAACCCTCAAACCTACAAAAAAAACAAAAAAAACAATAGAAGCCAGTATTCTTGCAAAAAGTATGCCAATTTTCATAAATTGTTCATTAGTTAAAATGCATGTTCATTAGTTAAATGTGGGACCATGATGGCAAAAAAGCATTAACAGCTAATCGTAACAGAATATAACCTGCTTAAAGACTGTAAGAATTAATGAATGACCAACAGATTTTAACAACAAAAAACAAAAGTTACATTGTGTCGCTGTATTTGAATAGACAGTAGTCATGGTTACCAGGATGAAGCTGGGGTTGTTGCGGTTCCTCCAGCTGAAGGATGGAACGCTGATCTCGGGGATACGGTTCTCATGGAGGACCTCACAGCCACTGTGGGTGTGGCCACTTAGAATAAGTCGGGGCTGGAACCACCACAACAACTGTGGATTAGAAGAGAGCTGTTTGTATTCAGTGTACTCCCATACTGCTATGAGACCATTTACCACTTCATACATGTTTATTAGTGGTTTGTATACAACAGAAGACACTCTTATAGTTTATTTAGTTTGTGTACATATATGCAAGTGTGTGTATGTCTATTACCATCTTTGAGGCATCCTGGGAAAGCACATCGTAGCGTTCATGAAAGTGCTGGTAGCGTTCATTAGGTGGTGCTGCATCCACACCTGTGCATTCAGCATCACTGGCCCGATACAGAGGGTAATGCTGGAAAACAATTATATTCATTCTGTTGGTAACAATGTGGAGGCACAGAACTATCCACCAGGTATGGACGCTAACTGACTACACTGCCAATATGAGGGACTGAACCCATCAAACCCATCTCAAGACCCACCCCACTTTCCTTGGTCCTCCAATCACTGCTTTGCAACCGCTGCTAACTTTTCAGCTATTTAGCAGCACATATGGATGCATTTCGGTCAACAGATTTTGTGATTGGATGACTTTTGAAACATACCTTGACAGAATGGAGGGTGTTGTTTTTTACCCATCTCTAAGCCAAAAATACACTTAAAAAACATCAACTTTAGTAAAACTGTGTGGTTTCCGGAAACAAATGTTTTTCCTACATTTATTAAAGGTGAATCAGCCCAGTCCATTTTATTTTAATTCATTTAACTACGTTAGTAACATGAGCAAGTTTGACCAAATAGGAAGAAGTGTGACTCCACACATGAATGTGAAAAAGCTAATGCGGTGTGGATTGTTTGGCTGAGACCAACTTTAGTAGTTACTGTTTTAACCACGTTATCTGTGCAGTAAATTATTAAATAGATGAAGTGAGCAAACCCACCTCAAGACCAGCAGAGCAAAATAATGGGACTTTAGCATTACAGTAGCATTTGGACAAAATATTTCCTTTCATTTTGCCATCATTTATGTATCCATATAATTTTGAATCTACGACTGAATTAAACTGTTCAGCGTAAACCAGATGGTAACGTAAGTGGTTTTGTCCTCCTAAAATTGCCACATTACATTTTGGGATGCAGCATATCGTGAAGATCGCTCTGGCTGCATATAATCTAATGCTTTTGGGCACAATCAGTACATGAACAGTAGTATTAGTAGGCTATTTTGAACACAGCCTATGACTGGCTGAAAAATGATCGTACACTGCTGCTATGCTGTGTGTGCTGCTATGACATCAAATGACTCACTTGAACAGCATGTTCATCTTTCAAAAAAGCAAGCTTGTTTCTTAGAAACAGATATTCATGCTGAAACACAATGCTAACCATGTTCTGTTGTTGTCTTAGAAACCACTGACCTCAGATCATGTCCTCAAAAGTTCCTAATGCCAGGGTCCTTCGGGAGCTGATTATTTCAGTCGCACTTTATAGAAATAATCAGGTAATTGTCGAGCGCTTTACAAGCTCATACTGAAGTGTTCGAGCATGGGAACCTCAATGTGCTGCATGGGGTCTCCAGTACTGGGACTGGTATGAATATTGGTCAGTTCATACCATCACCCA